TGAGGACATCAAGGATTCTAAGAATCGAAGGTGAGGAGGGAGCGTATTCCAGGCCCAGCAGACACACTTGTCTTGGTTAAGGTTCCACATCTGGTTCCATGAACTCCAGAGTCTGAGAATTCAAATAAACAATTTCTTTAATAAAAAAAAACCATATCTGACAACCCCCAGCTCATCACAGTCTAAAAAACAAGTAAAAGCCATAGTCAAGGAGATTAAATAATAGCTATCTGAAAGGAAGTTCCTCGAAGTGTCGAGAATATTCTGCCAATTACAAAATCACTAATGTGAAAATATGTTTAATAAGAATGTATATGTATAGCCTATATCAGATTGTGCACCATCTTGGGGAGGGTGGTGGGGAGGAAGAGGGGGGCAGGAATTTTAAATTCAAAAGCATATGGAAGTGATTGTTGATAAATCAAAATAAATTAATTAAAAAAAATTTAAAAAAGAATGTTCTGCCAAAATCTTGAAACTGTTTTTATATCCTTCTTGCCCAAAAGGCCCACATCTGGGTCCCAGATCAACCTACCTGGGGGTAAATTGACTCAAACTGCCCCAACTCTACTCCATTGCTTATTGGTTTTCACACACACACACACACACACACACACACACACACACACACACTGATATTGTGGTAGTGTAGGTATTAACTCAAGCTTCCCCAGTTCTACTAGCATCCTGGCCCACAACACTGTACAAAAATCCCAGAGGTGAGAAATGGAATGCCAAGTCTGAGGAATGGTAAGCAGGCCATTATGTAAAGGGAATAATGTGAAATAAACGTAGAAGAATCATCTGGAGTTAGGTTGGGAAGGACTTTATATACCAATATGAAGAGTTTGAATTTTATCCTGAGGTGATAGGGACCCACTAAAGCTAATGATACAATCAGACTGGTACTTTAGAAATTTTATTTTGGCAACCGTGTGGAATGTGGATTGGAAAAGAGATAGATTGAAAGGTGAGTGTCCAATTAGGAAGGAGACCTGATAGTTCAGGTGAGAAGTGATGAGGGCCTCCAATGGGATGGCAGCCATGAGAGTAGATAAAAGATGAAAGAAACGTTGAGGAGGCAGAAGCCACAAAACTTGACAACCAATGGATATGGGTGGTAAGAGACGGGAGGGTCAAGGATAATGTCAAGATTTTGAACCTCAGGGATTAGAGAGATGTTATTGCCCTCAACAGAAATAGGGAAGTTTGGAAGGGGGGGATTCCCCAGGTCCACCCCAATACCATGAATAAAAATCCAATACCAAGAAACGGCAAATATCCCTCAGGGCACCGCACAGAAACTTGTGCAGCCTGCGAGGCAGGCTTTCTCTCTGCAGGTTCCTGGCAAAGGCAGGTACACTCATACAGACTCACATGAAATGATGGGATGGTAGCGAATAGGAGTGCTAAGCCAGTGTAGAAAGAGGAAGTATTTACAAAACTGTGCATACCTTCACAACACCTCTTGCATCTGGCCCCTCATTTCCATTCTCGTGCCTAGTAACTCCTTTTCACCACCTCATTGCAAATGCAATTGTCTCCTAACCGGCCTCTCTGCCTACACAGGTTGATAGAATAATTCAGTGCATACCTCCTATAAAATTAACCTCAACCCCATCTCGTCCACTGACCAGAAACTCCCAGTGGTCCTCTACAGTCTTCAGGGTCAATTTCAAGCACTCCTAGCCAGACATTCAAAGCCTTCTCTTCTGGCCCCTTCCTCCTTTCCCAGTTTTTACTGTTCGCCGCCCTTCTCCATGAATCTCAGCTAACTATCACAGCTCACTTACTGATATATTCATGGACATTCCTTTCATGCATACATTGAACTAGATGGCTACTATCCAGCTCTGAAATTCTGTGATTTCTGAACTGTGATTCAGTCAGACAATTAGCATTTTTTTTTTTTAAGGCCCAGGGTCACACAGCTAGTAAGTGTCAAGTGTTTGGTCAAAGATCGTATTTGAACTCAGGTCCTCCTGACTTCAGGGATGGTGCTCTATCCACTGCACCACCTAGCTGCCCCTCAAAATAATGTTTTTAAATGAATAAAATAAAATACATAGGATTACAAAGGAACCCAATTGTGCTGAAATAGAATTACCAAAGTATTTTTAAAACAAATTTATGGATTTCCCCCCCAGGTGAAGAGCCCCTAATCTAGTCCAAACCAAACTTGAAAGAGAACCCCCTTATAACACACATAACAATTGGTTATTTAACCAAAAAAAGACCTCCATGGAAGGGATCCATTATTTCCCTGGGCAGTCCATTCCACTTTGGGACAGTTCCAATTATTTTAAAACTCTTCTAAACATCAGGGTGAATCTGTCTTTCTAAGATTTACAGAACAAATATCTCATTTTCTTCCACTTGACAACCCTTCAGATGTTCAATGCCAACTCTCATGCCCTCCTCAACCCACCACCAAGTCTTCTGTCCTCCAGGCTAAACATCCCTAGCTGCTTCCATCCGACCTCATAGGGCATGGTCTCCATTCCCACAGAATCACACAATTTCAGAGTTGGAAGTGATCTCAGAGGACCACCCAGTCTAACCAATACATGAAAGAGAACCACTCCTCTTTTGATTTTGCCTTATCACTTCCTTTCTAGGCACTATGCCTCTATTAATACAATCTTCATAGACTTTTGGGCTGCCCTGCCATATTGTTGGCTCATTTTGAGTCCATAGTACACTAAAATCCCAAGCTCTTGTTTACATAGGCTACTTTCTAATCAGGTCTCCCCAATCCCATCTTTGTGAACTTGACTTTTTGAACCCAGTTGTAGAACTTCACATTTATTCCTATGAAATTATATCTTCTAAGAGTCAACCTATGTTTCTAGCTTGCAGAGATCTTCTGAGATTCTAAATATGCACTATGCTAACTATCCCTCCCAAGTTCTTGTCATCTGCAAGTATGAAAAGCATGTTGTCTGTGCCTTCATCCAAGATGCTACTGGGGAAAGAAAATAAACAGCAAACAAGGCCAGTTCCATATACATCTAGCTTGGCATTCAAAGCATTGTACAGTACGAACCCTACCATCCTCTCCAGCCAGAACAATCTGCCGGCTCTCTTCACCGCACTGGCTTAGCCCTTTTTCAAATGGGAGTCTTTGCTCACATAAATCCCCTAGCCCAAAATGCCCCCCTGAGATAAAGAAACTGGGAAGCCTTTCTGGGCAGAGAAACCAACCTTTTTAAAGAGAAACAAAGGTGGGGTCTACAATCCGCCCAGTATTCAGGGTTTGAAACCCCGAATAACAGAATTCACAGTTATTTATAGTTCTCTTGATTCACGTTTGGTGCAAGTAGGCTGGCTATGGTGTAAATGGTCAGCACCCTTTTACTCAAGCAGGCTTTTGGCTCAAGTAGTCCATGATGTGTCAATACACAGCTCATTACATATGATGTTACAGTAAGTACAGTAGGTTTATTTTTATGGTGTTACAAAAAGCAAGCCTTTTTACATTATAGGCTAGGTCCACCTTTTACGCACTATATTTTAATATAAAGATGATTATAATTATATTCCTAAAATTAACAGCACAGGTACTTCTCTGGGACTATATCTTAGTTTCTGTTACACACAGACTTTCACCCGGGACTATATTCTTACCATAAATCACAGTTACCTCTTATCTGATTAAAATGATTGTAGTTGATAAAAGTTTAGCAAAGCAATACAGAGCAAAGCCCTCGAGGCATTGATTATTAATTTTACACATTACACTCCGCATCTCATCTTTCTGCATGAATTCTACCTATCTTTTAATACCAGTTCCTCCATTAAGTCTTCCCCTGAATATTCCTCACAAAACCCCTTCTCCCAGCCAAAAGAAATCTCTCCTTTCTCTGAATTCCTATAGCACATTGTAATTCTCAGTGTAGTGTAATGGAGAAATCATTGGTCTTGGTGTTTTTTAGAAAACCTGATGACGTGTAAAGAAAGTGAGATGTGAAGTCAAAAGACTTGAATTCAAATTCAGTCTCAGCCAGTTACTCCCTATGTGACCTCGTACAAGTCGCTCTGAGATTCAGCCTCCTCATTTATAAGAGGAGGGGGTTGAAGCTCAATCCCCAACTTCATCACCATCTCTAAATCTCTGATTCTGTGGTGAGTCTGAGTCCTGGCCCTCATGTATGCTAGCTACAGATCTTGGCTAAATCCCTTAATCTCTCTGGGACTTTCTTTCCTCATCTGTAAAATGAGAAAATCATACTAGGTAACCACTGAAATTTCTAGATCTCAAGGTATATCACTCTTTTTCTTATTCCCTTATACTCTGGCTTATATGTTAAGTCTTGGGGATATCTATCTATAAGACGGGCTTCTCAAGAAAAAGTTTCTTAGTTATCACATATACCCTAGCTGACAGGGGTGGGGAACTTGGGGCCTCAAGGCCACCTGTGGTCCTTTAGGTCCTCAAGTGGGGCCTTTGAGGACCTAGAAGGCCACAGGGTCCTCACCCTTCCCCTAACCCCTAAACACCAGGTCTAGCACATAGGAGACAGTCAATATTTTTTTCTTATCGAATTAATGAATTCAAATTACTGTGTGTAGAACATTATACTAGGAATTAGAGAAAACGCAAAGTTTAAGAAAGACACGATCTCTGTCCTTACGGAATTTAGTCCCTAAATGAATAAGGAACATATACAGATAACTCTAATACACTTAATTACAAGATAAATGCCCTTTGAGGCCAGTTGTGGTGGTGAAAGCCTGCAATCCCCGCGGCTGCTGAGAAGGCAGAGGCTAATTTATTTCCTCCCAAACCAGCTTGGAGAGGGGGGAGGGTAAAAGGGGGGGGAAGGAGAACTGGGAATTTCACAAAAAGACACAGGAGAAACGTAAACAGTTCCCCTTCCCCTTCCTCCAACTTCTGCCCTGCCCCCCACACCCTTCCGGACTGTGACAACCCTGCTCAAAATTAGCAAACCACACACCTGTGAAGCAATCACTGAAGAAAAAGACGCATCATCTACCACTGGCAACCGTCCGGAGCCTAAGCAGGGCACTCCTATAAATGCCAGGCCTGCCCCACTCACTCCATGCCTCTCTGTGAAGCAGCCAGCTCTCCTCCAGTCTGCTCTGTGGTAAGGCAAGGAGCGCATTGATTTTCCTGGGTCAGGGAGGCCAGGGTTTCCACCACCCCACAGTCCTCAGCTTGTGCACAGGCCACTTCCCATCTCCCACCCCAAGCCCAGGGGGACTCCCCCTCCTTCTTTTGCTACTTGGCATCCCCTTAACTTTCTCCAAACTCTTCTTAAAAGGCACCTCTTTCAGAGATCCCTCCCTGACAAACTCTCATTCCATCTTTTCCTATTTAATTCGGACAACATTCCCCTGAATCCTTTGTTAGCCAGCGTGAGTGACCTTAAGACTGGAGTCCTGCGTGTGTGTCTCTTCCTAATCCATCCCATCCCATCCCCCCTCAAGTTAGGCTGCAAGGGCAGAAGCTCATGGGCCTCCCTTTATGTAGTAACCCACCCTACCTCTTCAACCCTCCTTGACCAGTGCACAGGGAGACAGATTCCAGCATCCCAACTCACTCTTTTCCTTTTCCATGCAGACTGACCAAGGTCAACTAACACAATGGAAGCCTGTTCGTTGAAAAATTCCCTGAAAATCTTCGTTGATACCTTCCACAAATATTCTAACATTTCTGGAAACAAAGATGCCCTGAACAGGAGGGAAATGAAGACGCTGTTGAACAAGGAGATGCCACATTTCATCAAGGTGAGATCTGGGGGCAAAAGTGTTGAGGTAGGGAGAAGCGGAGTAAGGAAAATGGCACGGTTTGGAAGTCCCAGGGGCTTCAGGGGAGACCTTGGTTTGGGCCTGGACAACAACAGGGCCTGAGTTCCTAAAGGATTGCCTCCTGAGGGTCTTTATGACTCGTGAAGGCTATTGCTCACTGAGTCCACGATGGGAAGATCCAGGGATACAGGAGACCAACTTCTCTGGACCCATTTTTTTAAGTTATCCCAAGCATCTTAAGATCATAGATTTAGAGCCAGAAGAGACCTTAGAGATCGTCCATCTCAACCTTTCATACCTCACACCCCCACTTTACAGATGAGGCAACTGAGGCTAAAGAATAAAAATTACTGAAGATTTCACAGTCTTCTGGTAATAGAGCTTAGACGCAAAGCCAACTCCTCTGACTCCAAATCCAGAGATCTTTCTACTACCCACAGCTGCCACTCTACACCAGTATTTTCCAGACCTTCCTTCTATGCCTCTATAACAGGGAAAACCCCATTTCTGTTTCCCTCTCCTTCACATTCATCTTTCCCTCCCCTGCCCATATCCCCACTCCCAACAAGGAAGTGTTTTGACTCCATAGAGCCTAAAGAAGGAGGGTAAAAAATAAAAAAGAGTGGCTGTTGTGCCAGGGCAAAGTGAATTGGTCCTAGTTAGGAAGATGAGACTGTGGCTCAAGGTTTGGGTGAGGACCTTAGGTTCATTTTTTTCACTAGACAGCAACAACAATAATAATATATAGCATTTTAAAGTTTGGAGTGAGCTTTACGTTTATTATCTCATCTGAGCCCTACAACCACCCTGGGAGGTAGGTGCTGTTACCATTATTATCCCCATTTTACAAATGAGGAAACCAAGGCTCTAAGAGATTAGATGACCTGCCCATGGTTATATACTTAGCATGGGTCTGAGACAGGATTTGAACCCAGACTGACAGCTGGGTTGCCTGCTGTATGGAGTGCCTGAAAACAGATTAAAATGCAATTGGGAAAAGTTTAACAAAATAAGTAAAAATAGAATACAACATAGATAATGTTAATTTGTGGTTTTCTAAGTTAATACATCAGAGATCCACTTCTACGTGAATGTGACACCACTAATGTACCAGATAGAGTACCACATATGGCATTGGGAAGGATCTGAGTTCAAATCCTGCCTCAGTCACTTCTCCTTAACCTGGGCATGTTACTCAACCTTTCTTAGCCTCAGTTTCCTCTTCTGTAAAATGAGACTAGTAATAGCACCTATGTCACAGGACTGTTGTGACGATCAAGTGAGATAACACAAGTGCTTAAACTGCTATATAAATGGTAGCTATCATTATTTAGTATTATCATGCTTCCTTGGAAGCAAGTGTAGACCCCAAATCTGCTGTACCACTAGCTAAGAAGCCCCTTTACATGGCTGAAGTTGCTACACAATTTCAAGGACTTATTTAGTCATAAGCCTTATCTCTAATGCTGGTATTATCATTACTGTTACTATTATTTATAGAAGATGGGGAAGGGGGGAGCACATCTATACTGCCCACGAGTGATATAATGTTGTCATAGCCCTGGATTCTTAAGGGTGCATCCTCACTAGTGAGGACAATCAGTATGGGGTTTTCCCAATGCCCTCTGACAAAATCAGGATCATTGCCAGGAGTCCCAGGCTATGAATTTACCTTGCTCCTTACCACATGTTTTCTAGTAACCAACGTTATCTCTTTCTTCCCTCTGTCCCAGAACTCCAAGGATCTGAAGAATGTCTCACATCTCTTTGAAGAACTGGACACAAACCAAGATGCTGATGTTGACTTCAAGGAGTTCGCTGTGATGATAGCACGTGTGGTCATGGAAACCCATGAAAAGATGCATGAGAATGCACCTCCCGGCCAGGGCCACAGCCACGGGCCTGGCCTTGAGGGGCCTGTAAAGGGGAAATGTGGGCAATAACACTGATGAGAGGCAAAATCTCCCTCTCCTTCACACTCATCTTTCCCTCCCCTGCACATAGCCCTCCCCCAACAACGAAGTGTTTCGACTCCATAGAGCCAAAAAAAGAAGGGCAAAAAATAATAGGGAAGGTAGTGCTGGGGTCCTGATGACCTCAGCAATATGATTGGGGACAATAAAGTTTTTCTTTGAGCCATTGTTTCTTCTGGTTATTCATCTTTCCTCTTCCCCACCCCAACATCCCCAAGGCTCCGTCCATTAGGCAAACCTCACACTACTTATGCCTCACCGTCTCCCTGAAACAGTGACTTGCCCTCTAAATCTATCCATCAGTTGATCCATTTATTGAGCTAGGTGCTATTGGGAAGACAAAGATAGAAAAAGGTATCAGAATTAGTACCTACCCCCAGGGAGTTTACAATCTAATTAGGGAGACTAGGTAACCATACAAGCCATGAGAGCTATGGGAGTTCTGGGGAGGGAAAAATCATCTGGCCTGGGGAGACCAGGGAGAGCTTCACAGAGGAGAGGGCCTGTAAGCTGAGCCTTCAAGGATGGGCAGGATTCTGACAGTAGGTTACTAGGGAGAGGGCATTCTACATTGTCAGGAGTAAATAGTATGAGCAAGGAACAGATTGGGGAAAGTCCGAAGAATAGTTAGCAAATGAAGAATAGCAAAAATAGAATATTTAGAAATTAAAGTGGTTGGAGCAGAGGTGGCCTGTAGGAAAGTAGAGGGAGATAAAACTAGAAAGGTAGGCTGTGGCCAGATCATAGGATCTTAAATCATATATTTAGAGCTGAAAAAGACCTTGAAAGTTATCTAGTCCAGTTTGTTCATTTTACAGATGAGGAAACTGAAGCTCAGAAAGGTGAAGATATTTGCCCAAGATTACTCAGACAGCAAATTGCAGAGCCAATGATTTAAACTCAGGTTCCTTGAACCTGAGTCCAGAACTCTTTTCACTGTGCAAAATTGGGCACCCCTAAAAAAATACATTTGCAGAGAGAACTAAAGGAGCTCATTCCCTCATACTTCTGCCCTTAAACCACCAATATGGGCTGATCTTGCCTATGGTCTGTAGACATAGGACTGAGAGCTTATGCCAGAACTGACCTTTCTCTTGGGCCATCGGGAACTATCCTCCACTCCTAGGAGAAGTTGACTGACTGAGACTGTGTGGTGTCAAGGCAAGAGCACTGAGCTAGGACTCAGGAGAATGGGTTCTAGTTCTTATTCTACCATTATCTTGCCATGTGACCTAGGACAAATCACTTATCCTCTCAAGGCATCAGTGTCCATGCCTATAAAATGAGGAAGTCTGGACTATTTTATTTCTAAGGTCTTTTCTAGATCTAATCATCTATGAGGAAGCATATACAAGTTCACTCCTCCACAGGCAAGGAGACAACATGATACAGCGAAAAGAATACTAATTCCAGGCTCAGAGAGCCCAGGTTCAAATCTTACTCCCCAAACTTCCTTCCTGTATGACCTTGGGCAAGTCATTCAAATTCCCTGGGCCTCAGTTTCCACATCTGTAAAATGAGAGGGTTGAATTTGAGGACCTCTAAAATCCCTTCCATATTATGTGTGTGTGTGTGTGTGTGTGTGTGTGTGTGTATCCATAAGTCTTATGTGTTAGAACACAGAAGGGACAAGATCTCCAGAAGGAACTGTCCAGAAGGACATAATTAAAAAGGCAATTGCCTGTGAGAACAGATAGCTGCCCTCACTTCTAATGTGGGGAAACGGGTGGAAGGAGATCCTTAGAGATCATCTATCCCAATACCTTCATTTTACAGATGAGGAAACTGAGGCCTAAAAAAGAAAGGGCAACTTCTTTTCCCGACCTCATAGCTAATAAGTGGCAGCACTACCAGAGGGCAGGTCTTCTGAATTCTGATCCAGTACTCTTTTCACCAAACCACACTTCATCTCTTAAATTAATCAGGTTGACTACTTGTCACCATGGAGGACACAGAGATCCCAGTCCTAAGGAGATAGAAGAAGTGAAGAGAACAAAGAGGGAGAAGAGTGAACATGAGGACAACAACAGCCCAAGACTATGGGCTTCCCCAGAGGTACTAACTGAGGAAGGCAAGCAACTTGTAGAGAATCAAAACAGGAGTCCCTTGGCAAACAGAGAGCATTATAAAGTTCTGGGTTATCAAGGGCAGGCTCAAGGTGGAAAGATGGGTCAGTTGATAGATTTCATCAGAAGACAAACCAATGTCTTGTTTTTATTGTTTTATTGGGTGTGGCAAAAAAAAAAAAGATGAAACCAGAGCTGGTGCAGAGAGAAGCTGCATTTAGAGAGACATTATATCCACAAAGAAGCAAGTGATGGTCACAGAAGCACAGAATCTCAGAGTTAGAAGAAATCTCAGGGGTCATCTAGTCTAACCTAGACCTGAGCAAGAAACCCCTCTGCAACATACCTGACAAGTGGTCATCCAGCCTTTGTTCAAAAACCTCCAGTGAAAAGAAGCCCATTTACTTCCCAAAGCAGTTCATTTCACCTTTGAATAACTTTAATTGTTAGGTATTTTTTGTATTTTTTCCCCAACATTAAACCGAATCTGTCTCTCTGTCCATTGCTCTTTTGTTTGCCCTCTTGGGCCAAGTAGAACAAGTACAGTTCCTCTTCTACCATGTACTTGAAGATAAAAATCATGTCTTCCTTAAGTTCTCACTGTTCCAGGGTAAACATTCCCCTTTCCTTCAACTTGCCCTTATCTGGTGTGATCTTGAGGGCCTTTACTGTCCTGGTTTCCTTCCTCTGGACACTCTCCAGCTTATCATACCTAGACCAAAGACCATGCTCCAGATGTGTTCTGACCAGAGCAGAGTATATCAAGATTATCACCTCCCTTCTCCAAGACACTCTACTTCTCTTAATTCATATTGCATTAGCTTTTTGGCTGCCATATAGCATTTTTTACGGATATTGAGTTTACAATTTACAAAAGACTCATTGTTTTTCAGACAAACTCCTATCCAACCATGCCACTCCATCTTGTACTTGTAAAGTTGATTTTTTTTCTAACTCAAGCACAAGGCATTTCATGTACTCCTATTAAATTTCATCTAATTAGATTTGGCCTAACATTCTAATTTGTTGAGATCTTTTTGGATCCTGTACTCTGCACTAGGCAGAATACATGTGGAATATTTCCATTTAGTTCTGGGTGCCTTATTTTTTAAATGCTATTGCTGTTCTGGATGTAATCCAAAAGAAGATGAGCAGGATGGTGAGAGTAGTGGAAACCATGCCACATGACTTATTCTGCTTAGTATCACAGGGCAGAAGTGATGGGAGATACAGAAAGGCAGACTGAAGCTTGATATAGGAAAGGCTTCTTGATAGTTAGAGCTATCCAAGAATAGAAAGGGCTGTCTCTGGAGACAGTGAGTTTCCCAGCTCCAGAGATTATTTGGGAGAAGGCAAGATGGCCACTTGTTGACGATGTTTATGGAAGATATTCCTGCACAGGTATGGCTTGAACCAGATGATTCATGAGATTCCTTCCAGCTCTCAGATTCTAAAGCACTGACCACAGAAAGAGGCCCAACTGGGCTGGAACTCAGCAGTCAGGCAGCACCTAATTTTATGAGTTCCCTTGCCATTTCCATTTCTAGTCCTTCTCCTTTTTCTCCACCCTCCTTATTCACTTCTTGCATTATTGCAAACTAGAGAAAGGGAGCATTTTCCCACTGTCTTCCCCTGAATGGGATCTCATTAGTTCCCTCTCACTGTTACCCCCCGAGAACAAAATTTGGGAAGGTTTCTCCAATCAAAGACTGGGTCCCTGATCCCCCACCTTCCTTTCCTTTCTCAATTTTCTCTAGTGGTGCCTCTTTGCCCCACCCTCTCCCTCCAGTCTGTGGAACACAATGGGCACACAGACAGTTTCCTCTTGTTCAGGGTCCAGTTTAAAGCACCACTGTCAAAGGCAGTGCTAGGACAGGTTCAAAGCCCTAAATAGCTGTCTTCAGGCCCTTCCTTTCCTCTGTTCCCTTTCATTTATAGATCTGACTGACTGGATTCAGAGTGTATTTCTTCTCTCCCACCTCAGGTAGAGCCATTAACTTTATTTTCCCTTCTGGAGTTAGCATGGCATGACGGGAAGAACAGGGGAAAAGAGAGCAATTTCATTACTACTTTAATAAACTTAATCTACACTTTAAAAAAAATGCTCACAGTATATAACAGAAGTTCATGTTTTCATATAAAATCCTTTTAATCTTCTTTGCACATTGAAATGAGTGTGATGGCTGTTACTAATAAAAATGTTTTTAGAAAAAGATATGTAAATTAAGAGACCTAGATTCTGATGCCAGCCTTGTCACCTACTAGTATGGCTTTAGACCAGTCCCTCACTTCCTCTAGGCCTAAAACACCTCTAAAGTCTCCTCCTCTAAATTTCTATGGAATCAAATGGACCAAAACTGGTTTTCTCAGAGTTTTTTTTTTAACTTTGCAATTTAGCTGTTTCTCCTCCTTCACTGCCCCCCCCAATATTTTCCTATATACTATATAGTCTGGTCTGCTAGATGAAGTTGGCAGAGGTGTGGATGGGGTTAGGGGAAGGGGAGGTTGAGGGAGGAGAGCATGGAGAGATGCCACAGGAGATGAGTAAAAACTAGAACCCGAGAGATTTGAGAGTGCTTTAAGGTTTATAAGGTAAGCAAGAGACGGCACCTGCTAGGTGGTACAGTGGATAGAGCACTGGACCTGGAATCAGGAAGATCTGAGTTCAAATCCAACTTCAGGCACTTATAAGCTGTATGACTCTGGGCAAGTCACTTAATCCTATTTGCCTCAGTTTCTTTATCTGTAAAAGGGGGCACCTACTCCCAGGGTTAACTATGTAGTTATATAGAAAGGATCAAATAAGATAATGTTTAAGCATTTTGCAAACCTTAAAGCATTATCTATGTAAATGCTAGCTGCTATTTTTTAAAGTTCATTCATTTGACCAGAAATTGCTGAGCACCATTCTAGACACTGAGAGAAACATAGAGGTGAATGTGAGACATCTTTATGAAGCTGACAAACTAGTTAGTGATAGAAGACTAACACATTAAAAAGATAGTTCATGACACAAGATTGTGATAAATGTCCCATGAGTAGTACCAGGCAATAAGTTCTATGGGAGTTGAGAAGGGAAGGTGCTTTGAGGTGAAGTGGTG